GGTCAGAAGAGGAGATCCAAACTCATTCTTCAGTAGGCTCACGCTGCAAGCTACCAAGATTGTTGGATGAGCAGGCATAAAAAAACATCATTAGACAAAGGTAGAAATCCATTTGGAGACATAGTATGATTTTCTAACAGTGCTAAAAATCCAGTATCTCCACTAACCTGCAGTGCACACTGTCTTCCAACAGAGCTTGTTCAAGTGACAAAAAAAAGTGTTCTATTTAGGATCAGGCAACCAGATACACCTTCGAAGACTTACTGGGGTGATTTAAATGATATTTGCAGATAAAATTGTTCCAGTTAATTCCAACTTGAATATCATTCTTATGACAGACATTTGGACAGATTTTTAGCTTGTGCTGTTTGGGTGATGTGCACAAATTATTTGGAAGTTTTGAGAGAGAAATACTCTTTATGTTGTCCTCCCCATTGATTCTTCAGTTTAATCTTTACCTTAAGAAAAGTTTTCAGCAGCCTTCATGAGCACAGAGTTATATAGGTAGTTCTTGACTTACAACAGTTCATTTAGTGACTCTTCAAAGTTACAAGGGCAATGAGAAAAAGTGATTTATGACCGTTTTTCACACAATTGTTGCAACATTCCCATGGTCACATGATCAAAATTCAGATGTTTGGCAACTGACTCATATTTATGACCCTGACCCAGGGTCACGTGATCACTTTTTGTGACCTCCTGATGTGGAAAGTCAATGGGGAAGCCATATTCACTTAACAACCTGTTACTAACTTAATAACTGCTGCGATTCACTTAACCATTGTGACGAGAGGTTGTAAAATGGGGCAATACTTACTGAACAAAAGTCTCACTTAGCAACAGAAATTTTGGGCTCAATTGTGATCATAAATCAAGGACCACCTGCAGTTCCTATAGACCAGGGATATCAAACTGCCGGCCCGCGGGCAGGATGCATCATAGCGAAATCGTGCCCACCCCATTGCTGGCAATGGCAAAAAAAGTCACGATATGTCGCAACATGTCACGTGACATTGTGTGTGTGTGTGTGTGTGTGTGTGTGTGTAGCAATAGCAACTAGACTTATATACTGCTTCACAGTGCTTTACAGTCCTCTCTAAGCAGTTTACAGAGTCAGCATATTGCCCCCAACAATCTGGATCCTCATTTTACTGACCTTGGAAGGATGTGTATGTGTGTGTGTCTGTGTGTGTGTGTGTGTCTGTGTATAAATAAAAAATAAATAATATATTGAAAAAGCTTTGCAGGGGTTTCTCAAGGCTTTACGGGCTTCTCATGAAACCACTCAGAAAGGTCATCCAGGGGTTTGGGCTTATGTGGATAACAAGCAGCTCTGCTTCTCATTTCCTTCAGCTAGTCCCAGGAGGCTGTAGAAATCTTGAAAAATACAGTAGTGGTTAAAAAAGTGAGAGAAGAAACTACATGATTAAAATAAACATGACAAAAAAAAGAGGAGTGCTAAAAAGGAGATTCTTATAGTGTCCGTTTAATATCAATAAAGAATTATTTCAGTTCTTAAAATTCTTTGACTTAATCCAGACATGAGAGAAAGTCTAGGTGGAGAAAGATAGGTACATATGTGGGGATGAGTCATCACAGAGCCTGGATTGTAGACTGTGTGGTAAAAAACAGTGAAGAGTTTGCTTGGAACTACTACAAGCTGTGATAGTGCAGATAGCATCAATTGTCTTTTTTTTTTTTTTTAGCAGTGGCTTATTTGTCAGCTGTATGAAACTTGATAAAGTCAGATTAGAATAAATGTCTGTGGAGAGTCTCGATTAACATGCCATGGTTATCCCAAAGAAGCATTTTTCAAAAGGCAACTGGACTTTCTTGGGTTTTTGTCTTTGAAAATATTTTGCTTTTCATCCAAGAAGCTTCTTAGAGTTCTAACTAACTCGTGGGGAATAGAAGGATTTATACTGTTTGCAGTCAGCCTGTCCTTAGCGCTCTGAGAGTGGTTGAAGCCACTTGGGAGTTAATCTATATCGTCAGAGTCACCTGAATGAGAATGCAATCCTTCTTGGGACTGAGTTGTAAACAGGAGATAGGTGATGTTGTATCCCTTCCCCTCTGTTGAGGGAGGGCTGTTCAATTTTGCTTTGAATCACTAGGCAAGATAATAAAAATAAATTTATAATAATAAATGTAATAAAAATAATTTATAAAAAACATAATTTATAATAAAAATATAATAATTTATAATAAAAATAATTTATAAAAACAATGAACAAGTAACAGCATATTACAATTACTTAATAGTAACTTGAATACTCCCCATAATTATAAAAAATCTATTTACATAAAAGGAGATTGGAACATCTGGATAATTCAAAAACATCTGGATAGTTTATAAGGCCTGGAGTAAATTCTCTCTCTCAGCAATGTCAGGGATCGCTTATTGGCAGGGATAACCCTGAGAATGGAGGAATAAGATAAGATAGATAAGATAACCTTTATTGTCATTTTTTTACTATGGGCACAAAGGCACACATCAAAAATGAAATTTAGTTGCCTGCTCTCAAAGTGAAACACATACATGACACACCTAAACATACTATGAACAACATATGTACAGACCCACATCCCTACATATATGTAGCAAATAAATATTAAATACTGTCCATCTTGAATATATAACGGAAGGAGGAAGCTTGAGAGTTCATAAGGTTAATGCTGTATGGAATGAAACTATGGCTGAATCTGGATGTTCTGCTGCAGATACCACGAAGCCTCCTCCCAGAAGGTAACAAGGAAAACAGGTCGTGAAGAGGATGTGTAGTGTCCCAGATAATCTTACGGACCCTGCTCAAGCAGCGCTTCTGTGCTATGTCCTGGATGGGAGGGAGGGAACTGCCAATGATCTCTTTGGCCATTCTCACCACTCTCTGCACCGCCTTCCTGTCTGAAGCAGTGATGCCTCCAATCCAACTGTGATGCTGTATGACAGGATGCTCTCGATTGTCCCCCTGTAGAAAGTGGTCAGGACAGGGGAAGGAAGATGTGCTTTTCTCATGGACGCAGAAAATGCAGGCACTGCTGTGCCCGCTTCACCAGTTTCTCACTTTTGAGCGACCAAGTCAGCCTACTCATTAGCGGCACACCCAAGAATTTGATGCTGGTAACCATCTCCACAGGTGAATCATTAATGCATAGAGAAGTGTGGCTGTGCCTGCCTTTTCTGAAATCAACACTGATCTCTTTGGTTTTTCTGGTATTTAAAACTAGGCTGTTTTCCTTACACCAGTTCACCAACCCCTCAACTTCCTTGTGGTAAGCTTCCACCTTGTCATCCTGAATAAGGCCCACTACTGTTGTATCATCTGCGAACTTCACAATATGGTTAGTGGCAAACCTAGCACAACAATCATGGGTCAACAGGGTGAACAGCAGGGCTGAAGGAAGATACCAATTGTCCTTCAGATAATTTGCAATTAAACTGCTTAGGGCTTTAAAAGTCATAACCAGCACTTTAACTGTGGCAGCTCAATCCTATATACCAGGAGTCCCCAACCCCTGGGCCACAGCCCACTGTGGCAGGCAAACACGCATCCCCACTTGCACAAGCAGTGGGAAAGCGTGTATGCTTGCGCTTGTCTGCTACTTGTGTGGAACCATCCCCTGTTCCTACACCCGCCAGTTTACAAAGAAGGAAAGGTTGGGGAACGCTGCTATATACAGAGTATAACACAGAGGAGTTTATATTTGGGGTTCACATAGTGTGCTTATTTGGGCACAAAGAGGAAATGTAAGTTCTACTATGCCCTAAAAACTAAAATGCAGCTTTCCTTCCATAGCTTAATGAAAACAAATCTTGCAGCAAACAACAGCATCTGCAAGCACAAGCAGAGTGTGCCTTGAGATGCAATTTATTCTAATATAAAATAGATCTGGTCAGCACCACAGTAATCATTAGAGACTGCCTAGTTGTGCCACACTTGAAAATAGTTCCTGTTATTTGGGAAATTCTTCTAGGATGAAATATGCAACAACTTTGCTATATTTAAAACACATGTTGAAATTACTTTGGATTCACGTTGGGATTTGGTAGGGCATGGCAGTGCAGTTGAAAAAAGTCAAGGAGGGAGCTCTAGGCACGCCACTGGAGGAAAGATGAGAATTATATCAAATAAATAAAGCCATTTTATCTGTTTGATTACTGTATTCTGCCTATATTTTTTTCTGTTTATTTCAGATTAAAACAGCTTTTAATTGAAGGTGCTTTATATGACAGACAGTAATTAAATATTTCTTCATCCTTCATCTTTTGAAATGCAATAGCCCCTTTCTTATCAAAAGTTTTCCCATTTTAGTGAGACATCCAAATTCTTTAGTAAATAGAAAACAGATCAGAGTAGCCGTTCTTTGAAGCACAAAGCAATATCATACATGAAAAATCTGAGAAGTCTTTTGCATGCCACGCATCGAATTTAAGGACAAAATCATTTTAGGCCCAAAGCAGTTTCACCTATAACGTGTCTCTGATTTCCAAGAATTTGAGTTGTTTCCTGTATTACGGAAAGATCATAGATGTTATGATCTTCTGTTCCTGGGAGTCTGTTTTGCTTCTTACTTAGCTGGTCTGACCTTTCTAGAATGGGATGTTATGGACAGATACTGCTGCCATTAGTGGTGACTTGAATTGTATTAACTAAGTTGACTTGTTTGACTAATTAAATACTGATACAGAATTAAGTAATATCGGGGAGTTGTAACAAGGATTTATCAATTTTCTATTAATGAAAAGTTTGCTGAGTAGACCAACTCTGCACGATCTGTGTAATAAAACTGATTTTTCTGTAGACATTTAGCACAAAGCTTTAATCTTTACTCTAGTTGGGAGAGCTAGTAACAGAATCAATGCTGTCTTTTGTTGTAGGTTAAAAGTTGAATAAACATATTTTTTTTTTTACAAGTGTAAATTTACATGAGAGTATTGCAGCTTCATTTGATCACTTAGATTTTGTAAGGTAACTTCTGGTTTGTTTTTAAAATTTTAGGTATGGGAAAATTGTATCTACGAAAGCTATTTTGGATAAAACAACAAACAAATGCAAAGGTATGTTCATTCTCAATTCCTTTTTCAATTTTGATTTTAAAATCACTTATAATTATTATTATTTCCTTTTTAATGTATGGTAGCTTTGCATTACATTGAAGCATTTTTTCTTAGCACAGTTGCAACGTACGCTTTGGATTTTATCTCTGAGGTAATGTCACCAACAGCATCCACAAAGGCAAATCTTTTCAGTTTTTGTTCCCTTCCTCTGGAGTGACATTCTCCCCAAGAGCCATATAGTTCCAACCTTGCTGAATGTTAGGGTGGCCATCAGAATCTGATTATTCCAATAAGCATTGGGGTTGAATATGAAGTTGTACTTCCAGTGCTTTTTTTCTTTAAAAAAAAAAAAAGGTGCCGGAACTCACACATGTCATACAACCCTCCTTGCCTACCCTACAAGGTTCCTCCAAAAAAGGTGCCGGAACTCCGTTCTGGGCGTTCTAGGGGAAAAAAAGACCTGTGTACTTCTACTAATAGCATTATGTTGTTCCTTGGATAATAAGTAATGACCGATTCTCTGGTTATTTTATCTTCTTATATGTTGTTTTGATTTTATTTACAAAGCTGCCAAGAGTCGGCAAAAATTGGGCTATAAGGTCATTAGATAAATATTTTTTAAAAAATACTAAAACTCACATGGATGCTGATGATGACTCCAGACAGAGTTAACAGGCGTGCCACTGTGTGGCATTGAGCCTCTGTTTCCGAAAAGAAAGGGGAGTTTGAACAGGAATTTTCCTTGCCTGCTGAGATGAGTACCATTTGACTGTACAAAGTATCCAGAAAGATTACACATTGTGTAAATTGGCTTTATTAATTAGAATGGGTGAGTGTTAAGTAGTTCTTAATTGCATGTTCCAGTCCCCTAATTGTGTTTGTGTTCTGTTCGTTTGGAATATAATGGAGAGAGGGTGAAAGGGTTTCATTTTCACTGGCATAATTATAGGTAGGAAAAATAATAAACTTCTTTCTCTGAGACACTGAGTACATTAATTTGGTCTGGTGACCTTCAGCATTTACTGTGATTATGATTAGATCACTTCCTCACAAAATGAGTAGTAAGTAGAATACAATACGAAACACTCACATACTGAGTTTTAGTCCTACTTTCCAAAAGCAGATGAATGCTTTCTAATCAAAGAAAAATTCAGCCCAATCAGTTTTTCCATAGTATGCAAGTGGATTTTAACCTCAAGAGACCTATTCATCTAAAACTTGTATTTTTCCATATTGTATTTTTTGTTCTAGATTCATGATTAATGTTAGAAGCATTTGTTGAAAGATGTACATATAAGTAAAAAGATGGTGCTTAAATTAACTATAGTCCTGTACCAACATATCTAAATTCATTAGAACCTATTTTTGAGTAGATATGTTTAGGATTACATAGTAAAAGTGTTGTACATATTTGCTGTTTTTTTCCCCTCCAGAATTTTTCTGTACAGCATATTCTAGTTTTCTAAATGTTTACACATGGTATATTGTGTGGTTTTTTTTTAAAATGTATCCCATTTTGAGCAGAGGGATAGAACTAGCATTGACAGGTGTAAGTTTGCATTAATCTAAATGTTCTTTTTAGAGTGGGCTAAGGATCATTCCGGTCCCAAGGACCTCTGGAGCTACTTGAGATATACCTCTTCTCCTGCTTGGCCTTCCCAAGTTCTGGCTTTTTGAACTCAGAAAATGCTGAGCCTGGAGACCATTGCAAAAAGCAGGAGATGGATTTTTTTTTCTCTGCACACAGCTCTAGAGGGAAAAATTAAAATAATAAATCAGAAAGAATCAAGACAGAACATTTGTCAAATATAATCTCCCATATAAAAGAAGTTATTCAGCTGTGCCTTGTTTCATATTGCACATCAGAAATGAAAACAGCCTTGTGTTAATTTTTCTAATTGTAATCTGTTACTCATCATAATCAACACAATATAATCATAGTCAATGCTCTCTATATTCAAATGCCTTAATATAGTAAATATTCCACCTTTCCTCTGCTTTGCCTATCTAATCTGAGAATTAGATGCCTCTTCAAAACAGTGAGCAATTCTCAACTATACTGAAAACAGCATATTTAGACTTTTCAAATATAAAAGGCAAATTATTAGGGTAGTACCTGATCCCCAAAACTAAACTAGGTTATTTTATAGACTAATATTACCAATATATGGCCAATAACAAGTTTGGGCGAAAAAGTTACTGTGTTCCACCCAATCCATAAATCAATCAAATCAAATCTTTATTAAAGTCAAACTTAATCCCTGGATATTTTTTTTTAAATCTTAAATATGAATTCTTACTTAATATTAATTAATTGCATATAGCTAAAGGGTTGATCTTTTTTGTAGGAAGAATGGTTCTTTCTCTTGGCAAAGTGTGTAGGGATCCACTGCAGTTTCCTTGCTGAATTATGTGGGAGTGGCACAGTGGTGGGTTTCTGGAAGTCGATTCTGGGCCTGGGCAACAAAAAGTTAGCTACCAGTTCTACCGAAGTGGTGCAAACCGGATGAATCCCATCACTGGAGTGGCATAGTTGTTTTTATCTAGTCTTCCTTGCCATTGTAGCTCCTACCTCCCATATTACAGGTAGTCCTCGACTTAGTACCACAATTGAGGCCAAAATTTTTGTTGCTAAGTGAGACAATTGTTAAGTTAATTTTGCATTATTGTACAACCTTTCTTGTCACAGTTATTAAGTGAATCACTGCACTTGTAGTTAGTGACATGGTTGTTAAGTGACTCTGGCTTCCCTCATTGACTTCTGCTTGTTAGAAAGTCACAAAAAGTGATCACATGACCTCAGGACACCATAACCATCATAAACATGAGTCAGTTGCCAAACATCTGAATTTCGATCACATGACCATAGGTATACTGCAGTGATTGTAAGTATGAAAAACAGTCATGCCACTTTTTTTCAGTGCCGTTGCAACTTTGAATTGTCACCAAATGAACTGATGTAAGTCGAGGTCAGCAGCCTGTGACTCCGGAGCTGCATGCGGCTCTTTGAGCCTTCCCCTGTGGCTCCCAGCCTCCTCTGCCATTTGCAGAGAGAGACAGAGACAGAGCTTCTCTCTCTCTCTCTCTCTCTCTCTCTCTCTCTCTCTCTCTCTCTCTCTCTCTCTCTCTCTGTGTGTGTGTGTGTGTAAAAAAAGAGAGTAGCCTCACCCTGTTCCGACGAGCTGACAACCTTATTGGGTGGGGCTCCTCCCTTTGCTGCGTCTCTGCAGGAAGCAGGAAGGACAGGAGAGCGTTAGCTAGCCCAGCTATGCTGACTCAGGAATTCTGGGAGTTGAAGTCCATGAGTCATAAAAGAACTGAGGTTGTCTACCCCTGAGCTAGCCCAATAAGAATGTGTGTCAGCTTGTTGGAGAACAGCTTGAAGCCAGCTTGCCAGGTGAGAAGAAGATTGGAGAGGGGGGGAAGAGAGAGAGAGAGAGAAAGGGAGAGAGGGGGGGAGAAAAAGAGAGAGAGAGAAAGAGGGGGGAGAGGAAAGAGAGAGAGGGAGAGAAAAGAGAGAGAGCAAAGAGAAAAAGGAGAAAGAGGGAGAGGAAAGAGAAAGAAAAAGGGAGAGAGAAAAAGAGAAAGAGAAGGGGAGATAGAGGGAGGAGACAGAGAGAGAGACTCTTTTGACATCTAAAATGAAGATAACACTGCATATATCCTTTTTTACTTTTATGACATATATGTATGTATGTATGTATTTATTTTCTGAGGTTTTCGCTGGTGTTTGTATGTAGGTCTTTGGTTATTCGGGTTTTCTCCCGCGTCAAATTGGAAGTATTTTGGCGACGTTTCAACGAAGTCCCATTTGTCATCTTCAGGCTGGTGTTTTTCAGCTTCTTGCTTCTAGGAGCAATGTGTGATCGTAACTGTTTCTTCCTTTTAACTGCTAGTGGGGATATGAACTGATTGCATGGGAGCTTGGCTGTGTTCTGATTGGGTGGAGCTATGTTCTGATTGGTTAGGAGCTTGGCTGTGCTCTGATTGAATGGGGGGTTGGATGTGCTCTGATTGGATGGGGGAGTGTTCTGTTTGGGTGGGGGCTTTGTTGTGCTCAGGTTAGTCTGAGTTGCAGGGGGACGTGAGATGGTGAGCTGCATTGCTGTTGTTTGGTTTCGCGTTCGTGGTCGTGCCTCATCTTCATGGTGGGTGTCAGTTTGCTTCATGTATGGATTGGAGGGGTTTAAAGTGGCTAATGATGCAGCTGTGGTCTGGCTTCTGGTTTGTGGTCGTGCCTCATCACCGGTGTGGGTTTGGGTTTGCTTTTTGCGTGGATGTGTGGTGGTGACAACCTGTGTGGTTTTCGTGAGTGTGGGTCTGGTATCATTCTTTGTGTTAGGGACTCGTTTGTCAATAAGGGCGGGTTTCCAAATGGCTGGTAGGCGGGAAGTATCATCTCATTTGTTCATGCTGTGTGGGCATTTTTCTATCTCGATGGCTTCTATGATTATTCTGTTATTAAAGTGTTCAGTTTTGGCGATAATTCTGGTCTTTTTAAAGTCAATTTCATGTCCTGTGATTTTAAGGTGTTGGACCAGGGAAGAAGTTGGTTCCTCTTTTTTGACTGAGTTCTTATGTTCTTCAATGTGTGCACTTATTCTTCTGTTGGTTTGTCCGATGTATGTGGTGGGACAAGCGGTGCATGGGATTTCGTATACTCCTTGATTTTCTAACTCAATTTTGTCTTTGGGGTTTCATAGGATGGTGGATATTTTTCTGTTTGTGCAGAATGCTGTCTTGATGTTGTGTTTGTGGAGGATCTTGCTGATTCTGTCTGTGGTGCCTTTTATGTAAGGGAGGAGGGCTGTGCCGTTTTCTTGTTCTCTGTCTTGGATTTTAGTGGGGGGTTTCTTTTTGGATTAGTTTGGTAATCTTATTTCTTTGGAATCCATTGGATGTAAGTACATTAGTGAAAGTGTGTAGTTCGGTTTTTAGGTGTTGTTCATCAGCTAAGCGTTTTGTTTTAGAGATGAGTGTCTTGGCTACGGAGTTGATCTATGCTGGGTGGTGGTGTGAGAGAGCATGCAGATAGCAGTTTGTGTGTGTTTTCTTCTGGTAGATGGTGTGTCCTAGGGAGCCATTGGATTTCCTGTAGACTAAGACATCCAGGAAGGGAAGTTGGTTATTAGCTTCTGTTTCCATGGTGAACTGTATTTTGGGGTGTAGGCTGTTGAGGTGTGGGAGGAAGTTGTCCAGTTTTTCTTTCCCTTGTGGCCAGATTATGAAGGTGCCGTCTACGTATCTGAGCCAGAGTTTGGGTTTGTGATCCGATTTTTCTAGAGCTTGGGTTTCAAAGTATTCCATGTAGAGGTTTGCAATGACAGGTGAGAGGGGTGATCCTATGGGTGCTCCTTCTATTTGTTTGTATTTTTGTCCGTTATAGATAAAGTATGTGTTGGATAGGCAGTGGTTGGTCAGATCTAGGATGTGTTTGGGGGAGGGGGGTTATATTTGTTTTGGATAGCTGTCAAGGCTTCTTTGATTGGCACTTGGGTGAAGAGGGAAATGACATTGAAGCTCACGAGTAGATCGCTGGGTTGTAAGTTTTGTTTCTTTATGATCTCTATGAAATGGAATGAGTTTTTTACATGTGAGGTGATGGATTCTGCATAGGGCTGTAGTTGTTTGGCGAGAAATTTGGCTAGGTTTTGTAGAGGTGAGCCTATGGAGCTGACTATGGGTCTAAGTGGGGTTCCTTCTTTGTGTATCTTGGGGAGACCATAGAGTTTGGGGCATCTGGATGATTTCTCTCTGGGAATGTTTCTTTGCTGGATCTCTTCGCTAATGGGGGAGGCTTTTATTTTGGATCTGGTGGTTTTTTCCAGGTGGGTGGTGGGATCTGTGTTTAGGGGTTTGTATGTAGAGTCTTGGAGTAGGTTGGTTAATTTGGTTTGGTAGTCAGATGTGTTCATTAGCACCATGGCGTTTCCCTTGTCTGCTGGTAAGATTATTATGCTGGTGTCTTCTTTCAGGTTAAGTAATGCTGTCTGTTCCTCTTTGGGTAAGTTGCTTTTGGGTGGCTTGCTGGTGCAGAGGATGTTGGTGATTTCGAGTCTGATTCTGTTCGCGTCATCGGGGTTGATTTTGGTCAGGCTGCTTTCAACTCCGCATATAATGGTTTCAGTGGGGATGTGTTTGGGAGCGACTGCAAAGTTGAATCCTTTGGAAAGGACATTGGTTTTGGCTTTGGTGAGGATCCTATCTGAGATGTTATGCACAGTTTGTGTTATGTGTGGCTGTGAGGGAGGAGGGGTTAGTTTCTGGCATTCTTGTAATCTTCAGAGTTTATTGGTGTGTGTGTCTGTCTTGAGGGTGGTCTGTGTTTCGGCTCTCCAGACGGCGAGTTGTTTGGATTTGTCCCAAAGTGTGGGGTGGATCTTGTTGCTGAGTTTGAGGTGAAGTGTGAGGAGATCTTTGTTGATTCGGTCTAGGAGGAATCTTTTTGTGTGAAGTTCATTTCTGATTAGGGCCAATTCTATTCTTTTCAGGATGCTTTTGGTGGCTACAGAGTTGGAGTGGAATTTCAATTGGAAACCTGTGGGGATTAAATTTTGATCTCGGCACTTGCGTAGGAATGCGAGGTCACATAAAATGGAAGCTCTTTGGATTTCGAATTTTTCATAGTCGTGGTCAGATGGTGGATGTCCTCCCCGTAGAAGTACAATATTTGTTTTCTGAGGTTTTCGTGAGTGTTTGTATGTAGGTCTTTGGTTATTCGGGTTTTCTCCCACGTCAAATTGGAAGTGTCTTGGCGACGTTTCAACGAAGTCTCATTCATCATCTTCAGGCTGGTGTTTTCGGCTTTGTGCTTCTAGGAGCAATGTGTGATCGTAGCTGTTTCTTCCTTTTAACTGCCAGTGGGGGTATGAACTGATTGGATGAGAGCTTGGCTGTGTTCTGATTGGGTGGAGGTGTGTTCTGATTGGTTAGGAGCTGTGGTCCAGATGTCATCTCCCATTAGATGTACTGAATTTCCTGTTCAGATTTTAACCAGCTCTATTCAGCTTTCAACTTTGCCCAATTTGTGCTGTATTTTGTGAAGATGCAAATGCATGGTTTTTTGTAATGATATTGCAGTGCATAGCAGGACAACAAGGAACTTAGCATAAATAAATCTTAGCCATTTCCTTCAGGAGGAGGAGATGTCACCATTTCAGCTATGAAATGTCAATAGCATATTCAATGGTTGAGTAATGAAAGAGTATATACTCATAAAAACGGAGACTGAAGGGTAGCTGTACATATGGTAATCAATGAAAGCATGATTATAAATATTCTGTAGTGAATGGAATATGCTGCAATAAATAAACAATGGCATCCAGATAGACATCTCAAGTCTGTTTTTAACAATATGATATGATTTTCAAATTAACTTTTAATTTAGTTGTAGCTTACATTAGTGATTTATAGTAAGATTGGGATTCAGGAAGCTTATTTCTTAGGCAGTTCTGGTTCTATCATCCCACAAACTAAAGTATAAACACGCTTGAACTAAATCTGAGATTACTCTGTTATAAATATACTAGAATTAGTTATTGTTATTATTTTGCTAACACAAAGTATTAAACTAGCACATATGACTAGGCTTATAGCATGACTGCTTGCTTTCTTTTAAAGGTTTATATGCTTAATCTGCCTTAATAAATTGTAGCATAAAAAGAAATAAAAATAAACTTATTAAGCCCAACAAAATATTCAATTGCTTACACTATCCACACTATACTTATTTCTTTCTTATACATACATGGTTTCACCTTTTGATCTTCTTAACTTTAAGTATTTTTTTGTTTTTTACTAAAACAGATTTGGTTATAATATTGGTTTAATATTAGTTTCCTAACTAGGATCAGAAACTGATTATATTAAACTGACAGTAAATAGAAGTCTTACATTTTGGTGTCATGGGAAGCTAATTAAAAGCTTTCATAAGAAAACTCAATTGGCAGACTCAGTATTGATTGAGAAGAAGAAACTTTTATTTTGGTCAATGACTAGCAAAATAAAATGTATTACAATACAGTGGGGTCCATGCAACTATGACTGCAGTAAAAAAATAGAACATAAAATTACAAACATTAAACCTAAGTCTAATCTAAATAACTAAACCTAAAAGGAATCTTTTATGTTAATAGATTTAAATTAATGTTTATGTTAATGCAACAAAAATGCTGACAGTAGACTATGATTAGTTACAGTTAAATAAGCTAAAATATAGAGTAATAAAACCACGAATATAAAATATTACTCTACTCTCAAAAATAATTGTGCAATTATTCTCTTTCATTGTTTGCAGGTAATATAATAGTATTTAGCAATTTTTATAGAGACTGTAGCAATTCGACGAGACAATAAATACCTGAGATAAAATCAATCTGGATGGCCTGAATAATTTGATACTAACCATATCAAATAGCATGTACAAATATCCTGATAAAATGGAGAATATGGAAGAAACTGGGCAATAGTTTCAACATGACCCTTCCACATGCAAAGCCATTTATGAAAAGGAATTTTCTTATGTCTCTTTCCCAAGACAGCTGCAGGCAAAACATTAAATTGTGCTAATATCATAGTTTATTTTTTGATATTTCAATCTGTCTCAATTACCTGGCTAAACTATGGTTAAAGGGCTAAGCATCTGGGTAGACAATTACTGGCCCATAGGATTGAGCTTCCTAGTTTTCTGTATCTATTATTATCTGCCCTATTTTGGCTTTGGCTCGACGAAAGCTAAGGCTAGTAAGGCTTCCAGAGAGTAGTCACAGTGATTCAACTCATGTAAGATAGTTTTTCCATTTGCTGATAAATTTATCAGAAATCAGAGGGATTAGACCACTACTATTTAATCAGTAGCTCAGGGTATCATTATTGTATCAATCCTAAGTATAACAGTTCTAGCTGGAGAATACATTGGGTATCCATTGTGGTACCTGGAAAATATTTCTCAAAAACATGCTGAAGGAATTCCATCAGTGGTGTGTTTTTATAGGTCATATATGTGCACTATTCAGAAGACTCAGAAGTATTTTGGTTCTATCTATTCTTGCCCCAAAATCTGTATACGAAGGTGAAATAAGTTTAAGGCCTGCATGATTATTTATAAGCTTTTAAGAAAACTAGGATGTGGAGAACCAGCTTTAGATCTTCCATTCAGGCATGACATTTGCTGAATGGCATTCAATAAATCCTCCTGTGATTTCTAATGAGATCATTATGAGGACAAAATAAAATATTCATTTATTGTAATAAGCCTCCAATTCTGTACCTTTAAGTAGAATGAAAAGTGAACATTTCTTATTAAACTTTTTCTTTTTTTTAATTTTAGGTTATGGTTTTGTGGACTTTGATAGTCCGGCTGCAGCTCAGAAAGCCGTATCTGCCCTGAAAGCCACTGGAGTTCAAGCACAGATGGCAAAGGTAAGATAATGTACTAGTGAAAAATCAGTGTGTAGCATTGATACAACCTAAATGGAACCTAAAGAAAAGAGAAGACTGTATTTAAAGTAATCATTGAACTATTCCATTGTCCATCTGTCTTCAAAAAGACTGTGCCTTTATAAAACCTGGAAACAAGCTGTTAAGACTTGGTTTTTTTCAACATAATTTTATTTAGGCTCCTGTGTTAATTTGTTTAACTTGATCTAAAGCAGTGTACCAAACCATAGCAATTTTCAGCTGTGTCCGGTTCAATACCCAGAATTCTTCATAATTTCTAGAAATTGCCTGGATGGAGAAATGTTGATCTACAGCTATATTCCTTACAGCAACATATTTCTTAAAATAAAAAACATCATTAGGGATAATAGTTCAAATTGTGTTTGAGTTGAACTGCTGTACAAATGTTTAACCCTATTTTGTTATTTTTAAAAATAAGGCAGTGAATATACATAAAACTCCTTTCCTCCTATTTTCTCCACAATAACAATCCTTTGAGGTGGGTTAGGCTGCGATAGAATAACTGGCCCCAAAATCATCCAGATGGTTTTCATGCCTAAATCAAGACTAGATCTCAAAGTCTCTTAGACTGTAGCCTGGTGCCCAAACCATAGACCACTAGCTGAATAAATTAAATTGTAATTTTAAATTTAAAGTGGAGACTTTCTGCATGCTTATTGAAGGACCTCTAAAGTGAACCAACCATTTAGACTGGTAATAACAGACCTCAGTGAACTCAGCAATGCTAACTTCTAAAGACAAATGTATAGTATTGTGCAGTAAATTGAGTGTCTCATGTATACCTCTACTTACAGAGCAAAGTTTTATCCTTGGAAATGTTTTACTTGAGATTATTTGATTTTGTAACCTTGGACCTATAGTTCTTGATACTGTGACTGCTGTAAAGAAACTAAATGTTCTCTCTCAGAAACTATTTACCGTTATTGGCAGGTTGTCTGTCTGGGGGAAAAAAAAAACCCTTTTCTTTTCTCTGTTCAAGAAAAAGTTGAAAAGAATTGTTGCAAAGCTGGCCTTATTTGTTCAGAAGTAGCATAATTTCTTCTCATATTGGGAATAAATAAACATAATTTAAAGTTTCACTGCTACTGTTTTAAAAGAATGTCCATAGGTGATTTCTCACTGGTCCTTTACCAAGTCTTCTAGTGTTACATAGCTATCATAAGGCCCAGCTTTCTTCAAAGGGAGCTTTTTTATATAGTTCAAATTACAAGCATGAGGAGAAGCTTGTTCTGGATTAGGGCTACAGTGGTAGGAGAAAATATTACAGTACATTGCAAATCCCAACGAGCCTTCCCATTACTAGTTTTGGGAAGGGGAGAAAAATTGATGCATACAGTATATTAAAGATAATATGTAGATAGTCCAATACAAGATATTGGAAGCAAGCATTTGCCAAAGACCCTGAAGGTTATTTTTTTACTTGTAGTCACTCTTATCTGTTCCATAAGTGGTGAAGGGGCATATGGAGGAAGAGATATGTTGCGAGCCTTGAATAATACATCGATTGCACATACTATTTCATTAGAGCTGATGTACATTGATTCCCTTGTTGATAATGGCAGGCAAGTCTTGATCCATACACTTAGTAGCTATTCTTTTAAGATGTCTCCTTTCAGGTCGAAAAATCTTTGCTATTTTGAACTTTTAAGTTATTTATTGTGACTGTGTTTTAGAAAGATTAAATAGGGGCCAGACATAGCCTTTTTATAATATTAGTCCTGTTCCCAAGTGTAAAGTATTGCTGCATTTTCAGTGATGCTGTACTTTCCCTAGGATTCTCAGCTAAGGAAAAGCAGAGCTAATAGAAATATCCTTGGATGAATTCCAGGAAAACAAAATGTAAACCATATGTGTATTAATGCATATTTTATCACATGCACGAAAACATTTGCTCTTTCTGAAGTCAAATGCAATGTGCCTTGTTCTTTGGGTCTCTTTGTTAATGGTTGTGTCATATTGTTTAATGTCTATATATGTGACACCAAACAAAAAATAAAACAATTTATACATGTCTCCAGAGGTCTTCTCACACGCTATAATGACTGTTATAAAATTTATATCTTGCCATATTCAAACCACTCTAGCTGATTCACAGTTATAAAAGCACATAAACAGAATTAAGTGCTATAAAACTATACAATTTCACGAAATCCAGTTAAAATTAAATTTCAAAACCTAAATTTCACCTTATTATCCATCGTCAATGAAAATGATCAAGAAAATAAGCAATTTAAACCCTAAATAACTGGAAGAAGAAAACCACCTTTACAGCCCTCCTAAAAGATAACAGTGTAGGTATAGATATTATCACACAGACAGGATGGCCACTGAGAAGGCACCCCACCCGTCTCTAGAGGAGGCAGATCTGAAACATCCCTTCCTACGCAGAACACAAAGTTCAAACCCAATAATACATAGAAGTACACCGATGTAGGACTTTATACAACCAGCACTTTGAAGCCTAATGATAACTAACGCAGTGCCCCACAAAACTGGTAGCACCAAACTGAAGCCTGCCTTTACCTGATGCAGGTAAACAGATTCTACACCAATTGTCTTGCGTCATGAGGACAAAGGCATAACTAAGTACTGCCAAGGCCTTAGCTGAAGTTGGGTAATGACTCCCTGACCAGAGATTCTACCTACTGGTTAATCATTAGTTGTCCAGAAGAACCTCCAGGCTGCTTCTTTGGAAGGTGTGTGATCCCATCCAAGACCAATCTTACTTCCATCTTTTCTTTTAGTTTATTTTGTACAATCCATAGCCTCCATACTATGTGAGGCTCTCCACTGCATATCCACATCAGCTCATGTTTGGGATGTACAATTGGTTATCATCATTATATTAAAGAGACCTCATTTCATACTAACAGGTGACCTCTCCGATCAATTTCATATAACTGTTAAATTGCAGGGAGACAGTTCTGAGGCTTGTTGCACCCTACAAAGCAGTAGCCTGAGATTCAACCACTCAACTTCCAACATTATTGTCTGCAACTACCTATTCAGGAAGGAATGGAACCATTCTAAAGGAGTGACCTTTCTCCCAGACCCCCAAAGGAAACTTGTTAAGATGTCATGATTGACAGTATCAAATTGTTCTGAGAGTTTTACATGACTGAGAGGACTATATTCACTTTGTCTAGGACACAACAAAGGTTATCCAGTAAAATGGTCATTATTTGCATTCATTGAAAGGGATTGAGATAATCCATTGTATAGAGGAGATTGTATAACTGATGCACTATTTAATGGAATCTATTTTCTTACTCATAACATTTAAAAGTTTTGACTTTATTATTTAGCTTTATATAGGTAATCCTTGATGATGACCACAATTGAACCCAAAGTTTATGTTGCTAAACGAGAAATTTAAGAGAATTTTGCCCCATTTTACAACTTTTCTTGTCACATTTGTTAACTGAATCACTGCAGTTGTTAAATTTAGTAACACGGACACTGCAACCATTATAAATGTGAGTCAGTTATCAAGCATCAAAATATAAATCATCTGACCATGGGGATGCTGCAATAGTCTTGTGTGTGAAAAATGGTCATAAGTCACTTTTTTCAGTGCCATTGTAACTTTGATCACTAAATAAACTGTTGTAAGTCTTTGTGTATGTGTGTGTGTGTGTGTGTGTGTGTGTGTATGTATGTATGTATGTATGTATATATATATGTGTGTGTATGTATGTATGTGTATGTGTATGTATATATATATATATATATATATATATATATATATATATATATATATATATATATATATTTAAAATAAGCATTGGTTATGTGGCGTAAAATGGAAAGAGCAGTAGAGAATGCTTTTTAAAATGCATATAATAGTGACCTAATTTGATAAGTAACTCTGTTTTAATCAGTGAGGATGTCTGATTTAAATATTTACTTAGGTAGAGTCCCTCCCAGCAAGCATAAAAGAACAAAAAATGCATTAATTTTGCATGTAAAAGAGACTGAACTTACTCAATACTGTTACTATATTAGTTCCAACATGCATAGGTGAGTTTGCACATCATGCTAAATCACAATGTAATTTACTGTTTTGCAGTTGATTTATCAAGTGACATGAACCTAGCTATTACAGTTTGCAATCATGTTTTATAACTGATATGAATAAAGTACACTTTATTCAAGAAATCATGATTAATCAGACCATAGATTAGCCTGATAAGTGAATCTAGTCATATTTTAGATGTGGCCATTCCTTGCAAATTGATATATCTGTGCCTGGTTTGTACCACTTTAGACTGCAAACTTAGGTTTCATTTGTTTCCTTTTGTAAAAAAATGTGTTTACGTAAAAAAAGACAACTATGTCACAGAAAAATCTAATTTAGGACTTGTCCCTGATCTCTAGATTGCAACGACGACAACGATGATGATATAATTTCTAGTTGTGAGCCATAGATAGATTATATAAATTTTAAAATATACGGATTAGAAGGTATCTTAGAGATCACTGAGGTAATATAGGGCCCCAATCAAAGTGTTTACACCTCAGGTCTGGACTTTTATCGATGTAAAAAAAGTAATAATATTCAGCCTTTAACTTTTGCATTAGTTATGCACAACTGAATATTTTCTTACTACCAAATCAGACTAATTTTTAAAATACTTTGTATTATTTAGTAGCCTACATGTTGCTTTTGCCTAAAGTAATTTTCTCCAGAGTAGCTTTGCACAATACAGAGCAACAAGTCCAGATTTGCCATAGATTTTGTTAATTACTGGTATATTCCGTGCACCTGAAAAATCCCTAGCCAATGCTGAGTTGATAAATGTAGATGATAAATGTGTTCTTAAATATTTCTTTGATACCATAGCAATTTACAGGTTAAAGGATAATTGGAGAGGTGCTTAGAAGTTTGCCATAAGAGGAAATTATTTGAGATGAAGTTTTTGGTTTGAGCATTCTTAGTCTCATGTAAATTTGAAAAAACT